ACTTTGACACGCCAGTTTGTGTCAAGCTTTGCTTTTCTTTCTTCTGCACTCTGCTTTTTTTTTATCCTTGTCTCCGCCGGTCCTCTCTCTTCTCAGGCACGCAGACGATGCTCCGTCTCCAGGAGAGGTTACGCTCCAAACAACATTCTCGGTTAACTTGCAACGTTGACGTACGACCAGTCGACCCAATTTCCTGTAATTTTAGTCCTGCTGTTTTTTGTCGTCCACTTCATCTCCCTCATTACTGTCAAAGATCACTACCGCGGGATCTCGGGCAAGGTGGCTATATATGTCGGTCGATCGAAACGAGGACCCGGAAACGGCGGCAGTACTGACTGTCGACTGACTAACGAGCACCGACGGGGCGGCGTTCCGCCTTGCATCCTTGGCTCAGTGACCATCAATTGGAACGGCATTGGCGGATGGCCAGGATGAGAGGATGAGGGGATGAGAGGATGGAGGATCGTACTTTGCATTGTTCGTTCTTTCATTCGTTACGTCCTGCCACAAGGACAGGCCGTAAAAGGAGGAATTCTGTCCGCCACAGAACAGGCATGGTGACACCGTGTTAGTCTGTTTTGCCTGCCAGCAGCCAGGGCAAAAACAAGGCGGGTCCAGGGCCTGGCTAAGACCACTGTGTCTCTGTATGAGGAACCTGCGGACGCACCAGCAAAGAAGCGGAATAGCGAGATAGCCAGGTTTGGCGCTGCTGCTTGTCATTTTTGATTTTATATTTTTATTTTCTGATGTCAAGGTTTTTGTCAGTTTCCCCCTGCTATGCCAGGCCGTTTCATTAGCGCTACACACCGTCGAGGAACGTACTGTAAGGAGGTAAGGTGATGGGGGCAAAAAGCGGGCAGACGCTAGCGAGAGGACAAGTGTGAAAGTCACAAACGCCACACATTGCGCCATGGCTGTTTTTTTTTTTATTTGTCGCGGCTAGTCTACAGCGTTACACGGGCCACGAGGAACAGCGCAGGCAGCTCACCAGGGAGAAGAACCAGGCAGCCAGGTTTTTCTGCTGAACTTCAATACGGGGCATTCCAGGGGCGAACGGGAAATACCACGGAATCGTAACAGCCAGCGCGCTCTGATGGACGGGTCAGGTGCTCGCGTAGGGGCTGGTGACGGGCTGGACTGGACGACGGTTCAATTCAAAGAGCGAGACAGTGACGGAAGCATCGCAAAAACGGGGCCACGATGTCTAATAGCGACTTCGTTGACGAGGAAAGAACCGCCGAGCCACCGAAAAGAGACGAGCGCCCTGCAGCTGGTTTCGTGGAATTATCTTACTTCCAACTGCGGGTTGCCAGAAACAGAACTATTTGTCGCCGCTGCAGGCCAGGCATGATGCACTGTGGATGGGGCACTGCGGTTTCTTGTCTTCTGGCCGTCCCGCCCGCTGCCCGCAGCAAAAGGCAAAAGATATCTCATTCAGTTACAATATTGCATTGTATAACACAGGACGAAGGCAACGCGAGCGCGTTGATCGTTTCCTCTCTCTGGCGACTCGAAGCAAATAAGAAACGGGACATGGCAATTTTGACGACGGCCCAAGCTCGCTTTTGTTTGAAAGGACTCGCCGACGAGATGGGGGCCAAGTGAAATTTTCAACCGTGCATTCGCTGTGACAGGATATCACTTGTCTCTGTGAATGGTCCATCGTCGGCAGCGGCCGTGTATTTCGTAAAGGTGGTGCCAGCCCGATTGACTTTTGTCTTCGTTGGACGGTGGGCAACGAGCTCTGCTCACCAAATCTTGGTGCCAATCGATGGCTAGGCCGTAGCTGGTGTTGTATTGCGCACTATTCTGTACGACGCATGTCCGATGGTCCTTTACGACGTCACGATCGACGTCGTGCTTACCTTGCAACGGCCAGACGAGGCTAAACAGTTCAAAGTATTTGTTTCTTGACAGCCACGAAACTTGCTCCTGCTAAGCCAATTCCCCGCAGCTGTTTTCATGATGCTCCAGTGGGCGGTTCGTAGGACAGACCTTTCGTCTTTCGTCTTTTTCTACACCCGTGAGCTTGCTTGTCGGGCGGAGTACGCGAAAATCCAACAAGCATCGGGCAACCATCGTATCTCACAATATAGCGTATGCACAGATACGTACGACATACCGTAAAACTAGAAGAAAATGATTGTCGAGTGGCTCGTCATCTCGCTAAACCCGTCTGCGTTCTGCAGCGCGACCGGCGCAAAATGGCGGCAAAAATGCAGAAAAACCCAAGCATGTATTGTTCTCGAAAGGGGAGGGGGGGGGTGCTGGAGCATTGCCAAGTGTAAAAGACTTCGCATTGCAGAAGCGGCTGGCGATTCGAGGATCCCATCGTTTTCTGCTTGCAGCCCTCACCAAACCACATCTCCTGGTCCCTTCCGCCCACGTCGACACTCCCCACCCTCCTCCCCAAAGCGATGTCCTAGTCCTGTTTAGGCCTCTGTAACCTGAGTGGAGCACCCTTACTTACCCTAGCGATGCGTCTTCCATTTTCTTTTTCTTTCCTAACTCGATTTTTTCCGTTTTAGACAGGTCGAAAGCCAAGGGCCTGCTGCTTCTCCTTTACCCGCAAACAACGGAGCCGCTGTCTGTCCATCTCTGCTTTCGTGCCTCGCTCCTACCCTCGAGCGTTTCCGCCCCGTCTTTCGGCGACCAGACCTGCCAGGCCACTGCGAGACTGCTTGGCGGCTGGGTGCTGTCGCGCAGGTGCCTTTCTTGGACGAAACAATGTATCCAGCTACAGCACCTTCCCACGTCCATGCCACTGGACATGCAAGTATCGAGCTGCAAGACGAAGCCGTACTTTCCTCTTTTTTTCTTTTGCTTTTGTTCTTTCTTTTTCTCCCCCTGTCCCTCGTTTCCTCGATGACCGGTTTGCTCCTGCCTGCCACACCCCCATCTGAAATTGACATCCCACGCGCCTTCTCATATGTAGAAGCAGCCCAGCACGACGAGAGGAGGGCCAGGCTGTCTCGCTTCCCTCGCACACTCCGTAGACATGCGTGAATTGGGAAACGCGAGAATAAAAGGAACTCGTGCGAACCCTCATTTCGCTCTCCATCGTCGTTGTCCCCTTGTCCCTGAATGTTGCTCTCGATCTTGCAACAGCCAACCGTCCCCAGAATGCCCGCCGAATGCCAGGCCACATCGAGGATCCAGCCTGACAAGCAAAAGGTGTGGACCTAGCAGCTAGCACATATCTTCCTTTTTCAGTTTCGTTCTGTTTTCCATCGAGGTCGTCTTCATTGCTTTCGAAATTGGCTTGTGCCTCTGTTTCTTGTGTATATTTTGTCTCTGTTCATTCCTTCCGTGCTGCCACAAAAGTCCTGTTCTGCCCCGACTCTCTGCGTCTGACTCCCTCCTTCCTGTTCTCGCCACTTACACGGCCGTTCCTTCCTCTTCTATTGTGCTTACGAGAACTTGTACTGCTCGCACTTTCCTCTGTGTGCCTGCTCCGACGGATCATACAAAAGTAAGAAACCTACTTTGTTGCATTATTGCCTTCCTTCCCTACGCCTCTGGGTTTCTGTTCCAGTCAGTAGACGCCATCGAACAAGCAAAACGAGAAGGACAAAAAAAGGAAGGTTCGACGGAAACCCGTCTGCCGCAGATCCTCCACCAACATCCCGTCCGCCAAAGCCAAAAGGGCCTTGTCACACACATCCTGTTTCGGTTGAGCCGCTGACCTAAAGCTCGCCCACTGCTCTGAAGCAGACAGAAGCAAAAGCGGTCCAACCGGTCCGCCACGCGAATCTGTCCAACAAAGCACCGGTATCTTACATGCGACTGTGACTACAACTCTGACTACAACTGCGAACACAACTGCGACTGCGACTGCGCCGTGCAAAAAGCAGCAGGAACGACGGCACAAGCAACCAGACGGCGAAAAAGCACAAAAAGCTGCAGTCGCGACGCGCCCGTTATATTCAAAACCCAGACCACCCAGAACGATCAGGACGAGCCACACCCTCCTGAACCATCTCAGCACGGACTTGGGGGACAATACGACCTTCTCATACGATACACGGCCATTCCAGATTTTGCCATCGAACGTGTTGCCCGACATCCGACGAACAACCAACCCCCCCAGGAACCAAACCTCGAGCAAAACGTCACAGCGGGCCGTTCGAGCTACTAGCTGCCTTTTCGCGACTGCCGTTCCTTCCTCTTTCATCCAGCCAAGCTTGCCCGGTTTCTCCTGCTTCTTTGGCTGCTTTCCACCCATCGCTCTTTCCCACATTGTCGTCAAAGCAACAGACAAACTCGTTCCTTCTGTGTCATTCTACCTTTCGACGTGTCTGGCACTTTTGTCATTCCAGATACCCTCCACAGCCAAGCTCACTGCGCCCTTGTCCCTGCACCGCCCGGCTCTCTTTGTCTGTTGTCTGTGGCCGCACCCACAACAGCTTGGCCTGCGCTTGCCTGTTCCAGGTCAGGCCCAGCGTTCCACGCAGTTTCCTCTTTCCCAGCGCAAGGTCAAACGGTCCCCCCTTCCCCCCAGTGCAAAGTAAAGCCATAGCGGTAGCTCCGACACTCGCTCAGTTCTTAGCGTGTTTCCGTGTTCCGTTTTCCGTTTTATCACCCGTCGCCAGCGCTCCATCCTTTTTTAGGCCCGATTTTCTTTGGTCTCTCTTAGTCTCGTTTCCTTTTTGCTCCCTCTCATTCGCGCCTTCCTTCTCCTCTCTTTCTCCAGTACACATTTTTTCCTTTTCCATTTAGCTCTTTCTTATTTTGCTTCTTTTTTTCCTTTCATTCGTCCTATTTCCTCTTTTTTCTTTTTTCTTTTTTTAAGCCTCTGTATTTATTTCGCCTTGCTTCCTAACCGGTTTTCTCTCTAAACGCCCCGAGAGGGTTTGGGGTTCCTTTATTTTATCGCCTTTCCCCCCGACCTTTCCTCTCCTCTTCTCGTCTCCCTTTTCCGTCCAGCCAGCAACTCGCCAGACCAATCTCCACTCACAACCCTACCCCAAGACGACAGGCTCTGTCGTCCCTGCGCGGAAATGCTCATTGACGGTGAGAAATGGGCCTGCGAAGCCTGCGTTCGCGGGCACCGCGTCAGCAATTGCCAACATTATGGTACGTCAATTTTCGTTTTCGTCCGCCATGGAGCTTAATATCCGGTGGTACTCTGGTTCGCATGGGCTCGATTGCATTTTGCTTTGCGCATCTGCCGTGCGGGTTTGCCATTGGCTTTGTGCTGTGCTTTTTGGTGGTATCAGTCGGCTTCCGCACTGCACTGCAGCTCCTTGCCTCTGGCAGCGCATCTGCCCGCAGCATTTGTGGTCGCATCCATTGCAGCCTCGCTCCCGCGCCCTGCGCGGCAAAAATGGACGGCATCAGTCACCTTTGCAGGTCGCAGTTTGCAACCAATGGCACCAAACTACTTGCTGGCTATGGCGGCGGCATGATGTGCTCAGTGGAGTTCGGACGAGACGGAAGCACATATCTCCCGTGGGACCGGAAGCACGGCGCTCCGTATGCTCTCAGACCCAGACGTTGCTAACTCTTGTCGACTAGACCGGCCATTACAACACATCAACAAAAAGGGCCGGCCAGTAACGCAATGCCAGCATTGCCGGTCGCAGCGCAAGAACCGCTCAGCACATGTCAAGTGCGACTGCGGCGAAAAGACGAACAAGTGCATCCACCTCGGTGCCATTGAGGGCCACAGAGAAAGCTGCTGCTGCAACCATGGCGGACGCTGCTCTTGTGCCTTCAAGAACGACCTGGACACCGTCCCCGAGTCCGCCGACCAGGACCCAGAAGAGGCAGGTTCCTGCGGTGGTGGTGGTGAGGATGACTTGTCTGCCTCCTCCGCGAAGGCTGCGCTGATAGGTGCCGCGTCGACTGCACCGTCAGGATCGAACGCGGCCAACGCGAACCCATCCAATAAGAACCCAATTCGCCGCCGCCGCGCCAACACGACGCGGTCCGAAGGCACGCTGACATTCGACGAGCATGGCCACCACAAGCCACTGTCTCAGAAGCACACCAAGGCGATTTCGCAAAAGACCAACCCCTACCCGATTAACCGCATCAACTCGGCCCGCAGCACTGGCGGCCTGACCAACTTCCTGCAAGCTTCGAGCCGCCACGATGACGAGGAACTGGACGACAACCACAGCAACGACTCCGACAACGGCGCCGAAGACACCTGCTCATTAGAAGCTGCCGCTGCCGCCGCTGCCGCCACCAACTGCGGCACGTACCTCCCATCACAGTTGTCACAGCAGCGCCGCTCGCGCTCCGAGACCGCCTCGCCATTGCTGTTCGCCAGCAGCTTCCCCCAGCTCGGCGGTGCCAGCAGCACTGGCCAGCTTGCCCCACTGAACATGGGCATGGTGGGCTACAACACCGGTTTCACAAACTACAACTCTTTTACGCCCGAGCAGGTGGACCAGCCCCTCTTCAGCGCCGGCCTAAGCGCACCGTCCGTCGACTGGAGCCAGTTCGGCCTCGATTTCGACCGCGGATTCAGCACGAGCACGGACGACAAGTTCGCGTCGGCCGAGGCCTTTGGTTTTACGCGCAATTTTGGCTACGAATACAACGGTTCCGAGCAGGCCCCGACAATGACGACGGGGACCTCCGGTGAGGTCTCGGAGGCCGAAGAGCCCACCGTGCCGGGTCTCGACGACTACGAGTACGACTACGAGTACGACGGCCTCAACGACGCGGCCAGCGGCAGCATCGCCTTCTCGCGCACCAACAGCAGCTTCCACCTTCCGACGGCAGCGACATCGGCTCCCAGCGTGCGCGCCAACACGGTCAGCAGCGACATAAACGAGCTGCGCTACCTCAAGGCCGGCAACAAGTTCTTGCCGACACCCCTGGTTGGTGCGAGCGACGACCTGGCCACCCTCCAGTCTCTGGCTGGCATGCCGCAGGTGGCGGGTCGCGACGACGACGATTCGGGCCTCTGGATGAACGACTACCAGGGCCTCCCGTCAATGACCGAGTCGCCCGAGTCGGACGTTATCTCTTTCTGGGCCAACAAGTGAACGTGGCCCAGAAGGCGTCTTTTCAAATATAGCGACGAAAAACACTACCTACCGAAAAGCACAACTCCGACTTTTCTCTTGTCACTATTTCTTTTCTTGTCGTTTTATTTTGCGCAATGCTATTTCGCACGGGGTTATGGCCAGGTCACACGGGGGTGTTTTCTTGTATTTTGATCCTTTTGTTTTGCGGGACGGTTTGCTTCTTAAAGGCGTGAAAAAAAATCCATCATCATGACTGCTTTTTGGGAGGAAATGTTTGGCCATTTGGGTACTTGTTTTTTGTGTCCTCTTTATTTGTTCTCTATGTGTTGCTTGGAGCTTGTCATCTTCATACTCCATTTACGTTTTCTATCGTCTTCAATTCTTTTGCATACTACAACCGTTTTTTTTTTTTTTTTCTTCTTGCTGCATACGTGCTTGCCATCTCTGCTGCTTAGCTATCGCCAACGACACATCCACACCCATTCGTTCTCTCCTCCTCCCCTCTCTCTCTTACCAACATCCCCTTTCCTTTGTTCGTCAAGTTTGATTGCGCCCCCTTTTCCGGGGATTTCGTGGATTTTATTATGACAGCAAATGATGAAACGACTTGGCCGGCGCTGGAAGTTGACAAAACAGAAAAACCACACCAAACATACTCCCATTACACACCAACATATATATCCGAGCAGCTAGCAGGCAAAGCAACAGAAACGGGATGACACTACAAAATACAGGGGCGCGCCAACAGGGGAGTTTTTCTTTCATTGCAGGAACAGGAACAGGAACCAGGGCATTTTAGTCGTCTTTTTTGTTCTTTTTTTTTTTTTTTTTTTTTTTTTTTTTGTGCCTACCGTTTTAGACGGAGTATTCCGGTTTCTATTGCCTTTCTGTTTTTGAAACGGTGGCCAAATTTGGAAGCAATGGCGTTACAAGAAATGAGATATCTTTATGAAGCGACATTACAATTTTGAAACCATCTGTGGAATTTATTATAGCCAAAAACTATCCGCATTTACACCTTTTCTGCAATATAGGTTCTGCCTGACCGTTTTCACTCTCCTTGGCGCATTTTTTTGAGTGACCCTGGTGAGTCCCAATCTGTGACCGGGAAATCAAAACGGGCAAGACGAGACTTCAATGGGAGTGGGGTCATACAAAAACGGAAATATGGGTCAGGTCTGAATGCCTGTCAGCTCCGTTTTACGCTGTGGGTGTCACTTTCTAGGGGCCGCTTGGGGTCTTTACGAGGCAATGAATCTATGAATCTTACAACATACTCCGTACGAAGAAATGACTCCATAGTCCGACGTAAACCTTCTCTGACAGCAAGCACCTTGCATTGCAACAAAATTATGTTGTGCTGTGTTACTCTGCCCATTCTTTTTCTTTTTCTTTTCCGGTGGAAAGGATCGACGATGCGCCCCGGCGTCAATATCCAGGGACCAGGCAAAAGTGCAGGTGTTGTGATGGGTCCTGTCTCCAACAGAAAACTCCAGTAAAAAACAATCCCATTAAAAAAAAACAGACTCCGAGGAGATTCTAAAATGCCGAAAAATGGGGACCTCGCCGAAATGCATGTCCGACCGGCCATCAGAATATGCCGTAATGGTAAAACGTCAAAAAGGGCAACTATGGGTAATGGAAAGTGTGCCATCTGCTCTAGTCTCCGATTTAGTGTCAGCCTCGTATGGAGTGTTGGGATACACTGTCTCGACCTGTCATCGACTACTCAGGCACGCAAGTCGCTAGCCACCCCGAACCACTACGACGCACGGCACTACGACATAACTAGTGTTGAGGAAGTTGCACCGGGTCCACCGGGACACTCTGGCGCGATCTGCTGTCAAAATTGTCGTCTCGTGGTGAAAGGTGCCGGGGCGAGGCGCGAGACGCGAGAAGACAAAAGTGTGGCTGCGGATGCCACGGGGAACGACAGATATCTGTAGGATAAGCGTGTGGCTCATGAACGGCTCCCATGCCCTCTGTAACTTTGTAGTTTGCCTCGTCGGCTGTTGCATTGCTTCGGTCATCTGTGCGTACCCTTTTTGGAACCAACATTGTCGTCTGTCTCCATTCTCGCTTGGCTCCCTTTCGTCTTCCGTGGTCGTCTCGCATTCGTGATTTTGCATTAGGGTTTCGGTTCCTGGCAGTGCGTAACTGGCGTAAAGAGAGCTCCCATATCCACCAAGCAATTACTCTGCTTAGCGAGAGGCGAATGGAGCTAAAGAGGAGCCAACAGTTTGCGTGCTATTCTGTCCCTCTGTTTCGTATTTATTTTCCCCGTTAGGTGCTGATGACGCATTTTTGGTTTCTCGCGTAGAAAAGAATGTGAGGGCGGATGGGATGGGAGTCACCATTCCAGGGGCGAGGCTTTGGGAAAAGAACTGGAAAAGGAAATGGACCCCCACGTTTTATTGATGCTGGACTGTGTTGCATGACAAAGATACAAAGTGCATGTCAAGCCATTCGCCTTTCTCCGCTGCTGAAGGATGTCGCAATTCTTGGTTTCTTGGTTTTCGTTTGTTTGATTCGCGGCGGTCTTCGGTGGTCTTTGGCGGTCTTTGGCGGTCTTTGGTAATCTTGCTTTTTGGGCGTGGTGCGGAAAGGAGTTGCCAAAAGTGGGATTCCGCGGTTTTCTCGCAACAACTGTCTAAAAGTTGGTGGCCGGCGGCCGATGAGCCTCCGACGGGCCGACTGCCGATGTCGTCCTTGATTTTGCAGGATTGTCCGTCGAAGGCAGAAAAAGAGGGTCCGACACACAAGAAAAAAAGACCACAAAACTACTCGGCCACAAGGCACGGTAATCGGTTACTGATTGCGAACAATGTTGGCAACGCTCATGACCCACGCGAAAAGGCCCGGCGAGGAGACATCGGAGCGAAGAGAACTTGGCGGAGGGGATCATTGTCGCGGGGCGCACCGTCTGGTCTTGTCGTGAGTGATTGCCACAGATATCCTCAGGCAGGTGGGCAGCTCAGCGTTGTTGCTTGAATGGTCGACCGTTTGCCAGTCGTTTGACAGTCACTTTGCTTGTCTGTTGTTCAGGCAGCATCGTCCAGGGCGGCATCCAAGTCCAAGTCGAATCGAGGTCAAGGTCGAGTCGGTATTTCCGTTTGTCTCACAAGCTCCATTGCTACTAGTTGCTCTGTCGTGGGAGAGCATAGTCGTGATCGGTATCGATATGTCGATATGCGGTTCAGACGTGATGGCGGAGGCGTTTTAAGCGGTCCGGGTCTTCAAAGACGGCGTCGGTTTGTCTGCTTGCTGGACTTGTCTCGTCCGATTTGATCCCTTGGGCCACGCGTGTTGCTGGAAGAGAGAGTCTTGGTAGAGCCTTGATAGGCGTCCGAGGTCAACCCATATCAGGGTGCCTTTCGTGAGAGGCTGTCTACATGGTCGTCGTTGACGTCTGGTGTCGAAGAATAGAAAGTCGGAGAACAGAAAACAGAAAACAGAAAACTGCGAGCTTGCCACTATTTGAGTTCCAACGAGTCCTCCTTGCAATAAATGAGGGGTTTTCTGTTTTCTTCCTATCTTTTAGTAAAGTGGAAAAGAGCTCAATTAAGTAACCTTCGCATTTGGACATTTGTCTTATTCGCTCGCTGTTTTGTTGTCCCACGGCTCATGGTTTCGACACGGTATATTTTCGTGATATGGAGACAGCAGCGCGCAAAGGGGGGGTTTGCGCTGTTTACCGAGGATTGGCTTTTACCGTGGCATGTGGTAACACTTATTATTACGACATAGTACTTACACATCCACACTGTGGTTTATAGTGTGAATAGAACAGCGCAAAGGCGACATAGGCGAATATCCATATGTAAACGGGGCCGTCTGCTTCCGCCTCCCGGTGGGTTTTGTGTTGTTTATGCTGTCTGGGTGGTTTGTGTTCCTTTTGTTTCGTCGGAATGCGTTGTTTTTGTTTAATTTCATTCACTTCCAGTTTGTTTTTTGCTGTCATTTCTGCTTCTTGTCTCGCTTCCCTTCCTCGTTGAATCTCCTGTCCTCTGATGAGGTCGTTTTCCCGAGTCTTGGATTTATATCCATAATGTTTCTCTCGTCGGACCTGTCTTACTTGACTATCGTATCGAAGCTTGACCTTGCATGAGGCGGATGTATTTCCGTCAGAATTCGTCAGAAATGGGGATAGACGTATGAGGGAAAAAGACGAGAGAGATGAGAATAACTTGCGAGACATATTGCGGTGCATTTGTTTTCCGGCATTTTCTCGCTTCCACATACTCCTTATTCTCTCGCCTCCGCTGTGCTCTGGGCTGGCCTTGACTCTCGACTCTGTGCCGTGATGAATTCCTTGCAACCCATGGTATTCTCCTTCTCCGTCAGGTACTTTCCTCGGCTCATCTCTCGCCATCTTCTAATCTTCGCGCATCCATGGTCCTATTCAGGTACCGAATGACAAAGGAGTGGTGCTTTCTGTCGTTTTCATTGGACAGAACTGCAAGCTCATGCGGGGGCATTTGGTACGGGAAGTAAAAAGGCACGATGACGGCATACTTATGCTGTGTGACGGCCAAAGAGTGCTTCAAGCCCGGATCCAAATCTGGCCCGCTGTTAGTTCTAGAATGTGATATGTCTCGCATGCTGTTGCCATGAAGATACGTGTGTTAAGACAGGTTTCAGTAACGCTATTCTGTGACGAGGAGAGCTTGCTGTCGTCCATCCTCCTCACATCGATTCTTGTGTAAATATACTTCCATGTACAAGACAAGAGTACAAGGCATGCTTCGAGTTCCGAATGCGGCACAGTGCAGCACAAGTCAAAGTAAGTTTACCTCAGGCTGTAAGGGTTTCCTTAGCTTCCTTCTTCTTTTCACTCTTCTTCAATCCGTCACTTGGCACAAAATAGTTTCGACAAACTGCACCTCGCTTTCTATTCATGTAATTGGTCTGTAATTGCTGTCCCCGAAGCGAGTGGTGTCGTCGGTGCCAAGCTAGGCTGTTTGAGGACTGGAACATACGCCTCCGTAATACAACGGGCGCAGAACATTTGCAAGCAAACAAGAATGGAGGAGGGTCAGATGGCAGTGCACATGGCGAGACGATTGGGGGGGGGCTTTGGGTCGATGGCACGTTAGATGGGTCCGCTAGGGGATGCCCGCAAAATAGACAACGCAGTGTATCCCGATAAGGCTGTCAGAGCGGCAGGGTCGTATCTTTGTGAGCAGGCGTATTGGATGTAAGAATACCAGCCACGCAAAAGGAGAAAAATACGAGCGAAAATGAGAGCAGTGGGTGGCCTCGCCTAGAAGCGGAAACATTCGGCGAGGAACTGGGTTCCGATGCTATGCTCGTCCGTTGCTGCCTTCTTTTGACTCTTTGTTTGCGGGTGAAAAGAGGGGCCCTGATACAGCCAAAAATAACTGGACAGAGCGGTAGCTGCCAGCTGCCAAACAGGGAAGCACGAAATAAATATACTGTGTAAGCAAACAAGAACAGCGAAGGAGCGTGATGTCGTGTTCGAGGGATGGTCTCACTCCGCTCTTTCTTGTTTTGGCTGCCACTGGTTGGGGCCTTCTTTGCAGGTACAAGAGACTCGTCGTTCGTTGGGTCCAGGCCCTCCTTCCTACTCTCGCAATTTCAACATGGCGCTCGCAGGGGGTGCGAGGGGAAGGCGCGATCTTGGCAAAACACAACCACAAGGGGAAACACCAACTGGAAACAGGCACAACATGTCCAAGTGCTCCTTCCTAAGAGCAATTTACTGCCGTATGTGACCCATTTACGGTGCTCGCCCGACAGACAATCACAAAGGGCCACTCCAGTTCACGAAAAACGAGCCGTGCCAATAGCATCCTGCAGGCCAGCATGCGCTTTTCTGCACATCGTGAGGGGCGCCGATAGGAGATATGCACCCAGAACGTGCAGATCCCAATCGGTAATAAGAGGCAGGAGAGGACGAGGGACCAGGCTTTGTCTTACGTCCGGGTGGGAAGGTACGAACGAAAGAGGGATAATGCACGGCAGGAGGCCATGGGACGGCTGCCTCCCGTATTTCTTCTTCCACTTTCCCCTCCTTGGCCTATTTCCAACCATTTTCCTTTCTTTTCCTTGTTTCGATCTCTCACTCTTCCTCCTCCCCTTTGTTTTCTCTCTTCTCACCGCTTCACCACCGTCCAAGCCCGTACTCAGACCACATCGTCGTAAGTCGCCACAAACTAGCTTCGGCGCTTCCCGTACAGAACCAGCGGTATCGTTGTACAACAACCGGCACCGCTAGCGAGGCCGATAAGTATAGCTAACAGCCAGTGCCTCGTCAGCTTCTCTTCACTGTCTTCTCTCGCAGACAAAACTATCTCCAACCGCAACCATGCCTGGTGTTCGTACGTACAGCTGTTCTCCGCCCAGACGATGCGCTTGTGTCTTTTATCGTGGTTTCTGTTGCCATCTGCCTTTGTATCAGGGGCATTCTTGATTTGCAGCGCTTATTTTGATTCCATCCACTCGGCTCACCGCTCCAACGCCACTAACACCAACGAATTTGTCCTACAGCCGTCGACGCGCTGGACAACTTGAAGGCCAAGTTCAAGTCCATTTTCAAGTCCAAGTCCAAGGCCGCCCCTGCCGCCGCCCCTGCCGCCAAACCCACTGAAGAGGCCGCCAAGCCTGCTGAGGAGGCCGCCAAGCCCGCCGAAACTGCTGCCGCACCGGCTGCCGCCGACGCTGCTCCCGCTGCTGCTGAGAGTGCTTCTGCCCCTGCTGCCGCCCCTGCTGCTGAGGCCGAGTCTGCTCCTGCCGAGGTTGCTGCCGCTCCAGCCGCCGAGGCCGCTGCCGCGGCTGAGCCCGTTGCTGCCGCTCCTGCTGCCGCTGAGGCTGCTCCCGCGGCCGAGGCTGCCCCCGCCGCTGCTGCTGAGGAGGCCAAGCCGGCCGAAGCTGCCGCTGCCGCTCCTGTTCCTGGTACGTCGGATGCAACCTGCATATACGCTGAAGTGTACACCAGATTCACGCAACATGGCTAACAATTTTTGCAGCTGCCGCATAATTTCCAGGACGAGCGACAAACAGCCGCAATGTGGTCGTACCAAGAAGCTTGACGAAGCCGTTTCACCAGAGGCTTGTAATGCGACAGGTGGCGAGAAGCGAGAACTGTCCGTTCTTGCTGGCCCTGCATCCCATTTCTTTCTTCCTTTCCTTTCCCTGACACTTTTATGATATCCAGACTTGTTGTCCTCTTATACCCTGTTATTTTTGACAAATCTCTCTTCCCAGATACCTTTTTGTCGAATACCATTAGATACCCAGACAAAACAGATACCCAGACGAATTCAAAGATGACACGTTACATAGTCAAGGCTCGTTTTGTTTCCACTTTGCGGGTTGCTCTTATTGAAGTATATTCACGTACTCCTGTCTATGTCGCCCACGGAGCCTTTGTAACAACCACATCCTGTCCTGCTGCAGAGCTCTCTGCAGCCGGCCGTGGGAGGGCAGTCGGTGGCGGCGGGACCCGAGTGGCCGTCATGGGGCCCGTAGACCGTGCAGCACCGGGTCGGGCCGTCCCTGCAGGCACCCGTGAGTAGGGAATGCCAGGTCCTGGCAAGCTGCCGGGCACGGCACCTGGCATCCGCGTGGCCTGTGCCCACGGTGCACCTGTCGCCACCGGTGCTGCTCCGCCGGCCGGCCCTGCGGATGGTGTCGGCGCCGTTGCTGGGGTCCGGAGCGACTCTGCCACGGCGGCCGTCGCCAGTGGATGGTTCGTCATGTGTACCGTCGGCACGGGCGCCGCGGCGGCCGCGTCCTCGTCCCACGAAAACAGCGATCCAAACACAAAGTGCTGCACGACGGGGAACTTGGACAGCACCTCGGCATTGAACATTTTGATCATGCCCTTGTTGATCTTGCCCCAGCCGTCCTGGATGCCCGACACGTCGTACAGAATGGGGCTGTGCTCCCAAAACGGCCCCCGCTTCACGTCGTTGATGAAGCCCACGGCCGAGAAGTAGAGGTTGCACTCGCGCTGCGCGGCGACCACGTCCGGCTTGACAATGTCCGCGGGCTTGGGCACGCGCGGCGCGGAGCCGTCCTGCGGCATGGCCTCGCGCCCCAGCAGGCCAATGGGCCGCGTCAGCTGCGCCGACCCGAAGATGTAGGGCAAGAACGAGTGGTCGTCGAGGCCCCAGACGCCGTGCGAGCCGGCGGGCTCCAGCGTGTAGGTCAGGATCAGCCGGCGCACCACGCGCAGGTACGGCTCGAGCACGCCCAGCACGAGGCTGCGCTCGACGGCCTCGCCGTCCGCGCCGGCGTCGCCGTCGGCAAAGACGCCCAGCTTCCAGAGGCACCCGAGGAACGCCAGGAAGCTGAGCTCGTGCCCGGTGCCGTAGTCGAGGCGCTGGGCGCTGCCAAAGGCGCCGAGAAAGTAGGCCCTGATCTCGTCCATGGCCTGCGCGGGGTTGGCGTCGTGCTTGGCGTCGTGCTTGGCGTCGCCCGAGGTACCGCTGTCCCGTTCCGCTGCGGCAAACCCACGACCCAGTGCGATGTACTCCTCCAGCAGTCCGCCCTCGACGCGCTCGGCCACCAGCCGGTGCCACGCCCGGAAACTGACGTTGCCAAACCGTCGCGGACCTGGGTCCGGCGGCGCCTCGTCGATGATGGCGGCGACGCGGGCCAGCAGCGCCAGCAGCCGCTGCACCGACGGCGGGTCGTCGCTGCGTTTGGGGGATTGGAGGGTAAAGAGCGTCGTGGTAGACGGCGTCGGCCGCGCGGCTGCTGCTAATGATGCAGCAGGTACAGAAGCCGTGTCTGTCGATGCCGGTGGCGGGTGTTTCCGTCGCGGGCACAGCGCGTGGTTCAGCTGCATGACAAACAGGCCAATGTCGCGGTAGGCCTTGGAGACGAGGAAGCGGGCGACGTCGGGCCCGTCGTTGATGCGTTTTGAGGGATGGAGGAAGGTGTGCGGGGCTGTGTCGCTGTTGGGAGGAAGGACGTCGAGCTTCGGCATAGACGGCAGAGACTGCGTGGTCGTTTGTGATGGCGACGGTCGAGGTGGAGGAGGAAGCAAGTTGGAAGGCGATGCAGTTGACGCTGTTGGCGCTGTTGACGTAGTGGCAGGCGGTGCCGGCGCCTGCGCCGGCATGCCAGAGGCGCCTAGAGTACTCGAAGTCATCGTAACTCGAATGTAGAAGACATAGACAACTGCCCTCGTGGACCTGAAGATGTTCCGTGCGGTTGTTGATGGGTTTGGAGACTGAGATGGAAAAGTGTGAATGCGGGTAGAACTTAATCCTCCTGTAACGTGTAGGACCCCACCATCACTAGGACAGTGATGACGCCAATGCCTAGCCTAATACAGACAGCTTGGCCCCACTAACTCGCAATTAACACAGCCTGACAGCTTCGTCTCCTCTAGAACTCTAAACTGTTTTTCATGTACGTGAAATTGCTTCGTTTCCGTTACTTCTTGATTACGGTACACGTTATTCATGCCAGTCGCTTTTGAACGATATCGCTTGTAGTATTACAAATCTAAATGAACAAGTAGCCGGATGCCTGTTGTATATGCCAGAGGTATATCATGAAAAACAAAGGAAAATGTGAATATTCGGGAATTGGAAAAGTAGACAAATGCAAACATGGCCTGTATATGAAGCAAGACGAAGATGCAAGATCGAAAGATGACAAACGACGTCTCTCAGTGGGACCCAACCTTCCACCACTTCTTTTTCCGTGCCGCGGCCGCTGCTGCCGCCGCCTCTTCTTCCCGGTGGTAGCCCTCCTCCTGGATGTTGTGCCGGCCGACAATCTCCAGGAACACCTGGTCCAATGTCGTGGGACTGACGCTGTAGTGGTCGATGCCCAGCGCGTGGCGGTGCTCGTCAAACAGCACCACCAGGCGGCCGATGGCGCTCGTGGTCGAAGAGGCAGACGCGAGGTTGAGGGTGCCGGTACTTGTCGTGGTGGAGGTAGCCACATTCTTCTCCGACGGCGTGGCCCGCGAGCTGCTGTCGTCATCAAGATCCAGCTCCTTGGCATTGTCGTTGTCGTTGTTGGGTTTGCCACTCATGTCGCCCAGAGGAATCGCAAACCGCATTTGTCCGTGGTACGTTTCCTTGTCAATCTCCACGCCCGGCAACGTGTCCTGCACCCACTGCCGCAGACGCGCCGTGTCGGCGTCGGACGTCCGCGGCGCACCCCGGATCACCAAGTGCACGTACAGCCGGTTGCCAAAGCGGGCGCGTAGGTCGTCCGTGTCGCCCGCTGCCAACATGCGTTTCGCCAAGATGCCCGCGCGGCCCGCCAGCGCGTCCGCCTCCTCCATGGAGTGGGTAGTGAGCAGGATGGAGCGGCCGGGGACGGTGGCCGCCAGGGTCCGCCACATGATGCGCTTGGCGGCTGCGTCTAGGCCGGAAGAAGGTTCGTCCAGAATGACGACGGCCGGGTTGCCCATGAGGGCAATTCCCAAACTGAGCTTGCGCTTGTTGCCGCCGGACAACGCAAGTGCCTGGCGGTCGCTGAAGGCGCGCAAGCCGACGGCGCGGATGACGGCCTGCACGTTGTACTCGACGTCTTTGATGCCGCGGACGCGCGCATAAAACCGCAAATGTTCGCGGACCGTCATTTGGTCGACGGCATCAAATTGCGGGCAGACGCCCAGGCTGCCACGGGCGGCCACGAGCTTTTTGGTGACGGACAGACCCTCGACAAAGACGTCGCCGTCGTCCGGCTTGAGGTCGCCGCGGATCACGGAGATGGTGGTCGATTTACCGGCACCGTTGGGCCCAAGCAGCGCAAAGACTTCGCCGTGGTTGACGTCGAAACTGACATTGTCGACCGCGGTGTTGCGCTTAAACGTCTTTGTGACATGAGACACGCACAAGCCGCGGTCCGGGGCCGACCCCTCGCCAACACGGCCGGCATCTTCGGGAAAGGTGTCTCCGTCAATGTCCACAGAGACCTGCGGCGTCGCGCCTGTCGACTTCTTGCGGCGCAGCATCTTGGTGAGACGGTAAAAGGACGCGCCAACATTGCCGCTGTCGAACCAAAGGAGGATGCCAAAGAGGAGGATCGACTGCCAAATGAGATAGAAGATGGGCCCTCCGTACAGCGTGAAGCTGCCCGGGTTGTTGTTGATGACGGTGCCGTCACAGGTGACTGAAAACAAGTTGAGGACCACAAAGAGCGACCGGATGACGGACCCAATGGGCGCAAAGGCCGAGGCAACAAAGTGGACAACCAGCAGGTCGGCATCGATATGGTTGACCGGTGCATAGGTGATGGTGGCGAGGTACGCAATCATGTACACGAGGAAGACGATGGCCTGGTAGGCGGCGGTGAAAGCGTAGGCTGTCAACTGGTTGCGGGAAAAGAGCGAGATGTTGTAGGCGAGCAGGGCCGACGCCAAGCCGTACAGGGCAAAGACGAGGAAGAGGTAGCCGACATGGTACCAGACACTTGACAGCGCCGCAAAAAGAATGGTCATGAGCGCCGACGACACCAGGACAATGGCAAGGTCAAAGCCCACGTAGGCCATCCAGAGCGGCAAGGCGCGCACGCCGTTGGAGTATTCGAGGCCGCGGACGTGGCGGCGCCGCTCGAGGTTCGGGTAGAGGGAGAAGAAGCCCGGGTAGGCGGCGCAGGCCAGACAGACGTACACAAGCATCTGCAGCGAGTTGCCGGTGCTGGGCGACCAGGGAATGTCAAAGTCGGCGTATCTAGCGGATATAGACAGATTGGCCAGCAGCGCGTTCATCAAGTTCTGGCCAAAAAAGGCGTTCACCTGGTCGAGATAGTCGCCCAGGTAGGCCACGGTCGGCGGCGAGCTGCCGTCGCCCAGCCAGAGGCCCGCGGGCGTCACGTTCCTGCGGTACTGGAGGATGAGCTCGTTGAAGTCGTCAAAGGTATCGGCCAGGGTGATGTTCGTGAAAATCTGCGCGATAATGGCCGTGTCGTTGTTACTGCTACTACCGGTGCCGCCATTGCTGCTACTGTTTGTGAACATGGGCGTAAATAGGTCGATGACGGCGTTGATGTCGCCGAAACGAGCCGCGGGGCCGGCCACGAGGAAAACATAGTCACCGAAATCTGCCAGATCCTGCGGACGGTCGTTAGACAGCTGGTCGGCCGATGAGCAGCCGACGGGCTGTTGGTTCCGCACAAAGAGCGTGACAAGGCCGGCGGCAAGAACGGGGATGGCCAAGGCCGCCGCCGATGGCACCCAGTTGTGCTTGAAAACGACAAATCGCTTTCGGAACAGCACCCAGGCCTGCTGCAAGTAACCGATCCTGCGCCCCGAAAGCAGCTTCAGACCGCTGTTCCCGTCGGCGTTTTGGACGACGCCGTCATTGCTGTCGTTTGGTACAAGCATGCCGGATGCAGCCGGCTTGGCTTCGTCAGACGCCTCGTGCTTCTCACCAGCAACACTCGTGCTGCTCTCTTTGCCCTGGTCGGACCCGGTGCCGACCGCTTGGCTCTTTTCGTGCTCTTCCTGCTCCTGTTGCACCTCTTCGGCCAGCTGCAAGAAAACATCTTCCAGGGTCGGGCCCGAGAAGCGGTAGTCGGTCACGCCGGCAGCTTCGAGCGTGCGGATGACTTGTGCGGCCTGGCCAGAAGAGGGTGCAATGTACGTCACCAGGTCAAAGTAGTTCTTCTTGACGACGCCCTCGACATCGGGCAGGTCGCCATCGCTGCGCACGACGACAGCGGCCTTTTCGTTGGGTTTGGTCTTGTGCACGTGGATGCGGTAGCCGCCGCCAAGGCGGTCTTTCAGAGCGACTGACGAGCCGTCGGCGCGGAGTGTGCCCTTGGACAAGATGGCAATGTGGTCGGACAACAAGTCCGCCTCGTCCAAAAAGTGGGTGGTCATAATGATGGTGCGGCGGCCGCGCTCGGCCAAAAGAATATCCCAGATCTTGCGGCGACTCAGCGGATCGAGACCGCTCGACACTTCGTCGACACAGCACACGGCGCTGCCGCCCGTGAGCATCATGCCCAGCTGCAGTTTGCGCTGCTGGCCGCCTGAGAGCGTCTTGGCGCGTGCGGTGGCCTTATGCTCGAGATCGATAGACTTGATAAGGTCGCGGATCTCCTCGCGCGACGCGCGGTTGAAAGGAGACTTGAGGCGGTTGAAAATGTGCAGGTGCTCTTCTACGGTAATCTGGTCCCACATGACGTTCTTTTGGGGCGCAATGCCGAGGCCGCGCGTGCCGTCCAATGTGATGCGGCCGCTTGTCAGCTTGCTTGTGCCAGCTATGGCATCGAGCGTCGTACTCTTGCCGCTACCGTTGGCGCCGAGCAGCACGAGAATCTGACCGTGAACAGCGGAGAGCGTCAGCTCCTTCACGGCATGCACAGGTTCCGGTGCCTTCTTGGCCCAACCAAAGGCACGCCGCAGCGGGCCGGGGCTGTAGGTCTTGCTGAACGCGTCCAGTTGAAGGGCTGGCAGCGGGTTACCGTTCGCGTCGACACCGCCGTCGTCAGGACGCGCCTCGATGGTGCGGCCGGTGGTAATAGTACCGTAGAGATAACGCTCAATGTATGCCCCGATGATAGGGTAGATGATGATTTGCAAAAGAAGGAAGACCCATAGTACAATACCAGGAAGATGCCACGGACTGTCAGGCGCCACCTCCACAAGATTGATAGGCCACTCTTTGCGCTCCCAGCGCGCGACATTGGTGACAAAGTACACATAGTTGCACGGCGCAAACAATAGGCTCAAGACGGTCACGGTGGGGGTCGGCGGCCGCGTGAGGGTTTGGGCGATGATGGCCAGCAGCAGATAGACGATGGTGACGGACACACCGCTGAGCTGCGAGCGGCGGAAGAGCGAGGCGCCAAGTAGCGACATGGACGCCAGTGCCAGGCCGACGGTGACGTGGTACAAAATGATGACGGCGGCGTTGGAGTGGGCAAAGACGCTCGCCGAGACAATAGCCGACCCCAAGACCCAGCCCGGCAGGTAGAGGGCGACAAACGACAAGTGATACGAGACAAGACGCGCCACCTGGGCCTCGCCCCAGCGGCGGCCGCCGTCCGACGTGGCCATCATGGAGTCGAGGAGCGTAGCCATGCCCAGCTCGCGCTCGGTGGCCACGAAGCCGGTCAAGTGATAACAGATGCCAATGACGCCCGAGATGA